GATCTGAGATTCAACAGTCTTGCACAATTCACAGTGATTACCAGAGCACATACCCTCCCCGATTTTAGCCTGTTTTCTAAAGCATTGCTACCTACAAGTGTGGTCTGAACCAGCATAGCTAGAAATTTAGGAATGCAGAATCTGAGCCCATCTCAGAACAATGCAACCCGAATATGATGGATTTACACATTAATGTTTGAAAAACAGTGCTCTAAGACACTCCCTAGACCCGCACAGAGCATGTTTTACTGAGCATCTGTCTCCTTCTAACAAACATTTATTGAGCACCTGCTGTATGCCAAGAACTATACTACATGCTGTGATTTCCTCTCCAAGATTTCTTCCAGGATGACTCAAGAATAGACGAAGAAGATTGTTGGCTTCTTTTGAACTGTTTTCCTGGCGAAGTCAAGTAGTTGTGATCAAAAAAGCTGCCAGTTTCATGGAGATACAAAACCTCTAATCTTAAGTGATTCCATTTCTCTTGTTTCTGAGTTCTCACACAGTAATGTCTCTAAATCTAAAGTTTAATGCTTTCTTTTTTAAAAAGATTTATTTACTGGAGGGGGAGGGGCAGAGGGAGAGAGAGTCTTAAGCAGACTCTGGGCTGAGGCGGGGCTCCATCTCAGGACCTTGAGATCATGACCCCAAGAGTTGGACACTTAACTGACCACGCCACCCAGGCACCCCTTTAATGCTTTCTTAATATGTTCACTCCTTCCATTAAGAGCTAAAGAAATCAAGGGGGGAAAAGGCATTGAAATTAACATTCCACAATAGAGCTTAAAGAACACATTTTGCTTGCCTTAGCCAACTTACATAAAGTTTTGCTTTTAGGAATATTCAAAAAAAAGGTTTTAAGCTTGAGGAAAGCTCAGAAAGGTGACTTTTCAAAAGTAAATGTTGGGATATTCCTTTACAGAGTGATTTTTCTATGAAGAATAAAAAATGTGAACTCAAACATGCAACATATTCTCAATATCCTGTGGTGTACTTGAAAAAAAGAGCACTATATTGAAGTGTCCTTTAAACACCAGAAGATACATGATAAATAGTGTACACTTCCTTTTTATTAACCAAGGGATACTCCTCTAGAAAACAAAACAAAACAAAAAACAAACAAAAAAAAACCTTCCCATAATACTATGCAGCTCAAAGGGCTGAAAAGCAGACTCAAATGAATGTTAAGAATAGCCTGGAAGAAGAAATTTTAGTAAGAGCCAAAAGGGGGCAAGATGCAACAGGAGTTGTGTGTACTGAAAGGTGGCTGAGGTGCAGGCATTGGGCTGTGGAGTTACCTTGGAGTTGAAGTGGGCCATTCAGTGATTAGATGTCAGCATTCAGTTTTCTCTTAGCAAAGCCTGCTGCTTGCTTTTCAAATAAGCCCCTCCTGAGTCACCCAGGAGCTGCCTGACCTGAAGCCCTCCAGGGCCCCACTATCAAAGCCCAGGGTGTTCTTCTTATTTTGCCTCTGGGCCAAGATGTTTCTGTGATTATTGATATGCAAAATTCTCATATCATTAGAGACCTTATAGTATACCATGAAAAAGTACCATTTGAAGGAGTAGGGAATATTGCAGAAAGCAGGGGAATGAGTTTGTGTGCCTCCAAGCCCCGGGACTTGAGGTTTTCTTTTAAAATGATATTTCCCGATAGTGCCAACTGCTCTCTGAATGCCCCAGGACTTCCATTTCATCTGTGAAAAGGGCATCCTACCCACAAAAACTCGCCCTGCCCTATGGGGGTCCTGTGAAGAGCAAAGGGGACCAAGAGTTTGAAAGAAGGTTCCAAACACCTGAGTAATACAAACATGTTATCATTATTCCCTCTGTAAAATGGGGCTAAGTGGTGTGTAAGTAAATCTTCATTATGTAACAGTTGAAACAAACCATCCTTGAGGTTGTCATCCAAATATGAGATATTGCACCTTCCTCGGCCTCCTTACTCCCCCTATTTCTGCTGCCTCTGTGGTCTATTGAAAATGTAATACATTCTATGTGATTGTCGTGTGTGTGTGTGTGTGCGTGTGTGTGTATGTGTGTGTAGGGGAAAGACGCAAGGAAAGAAACATCTGTGGCCGTGTTCAACATCTGAGTGCTGGCTGCGTGGAAGGCCGGAGGAAGGACCCGTCTGAGGTCCCAGGACTGGCCCCCGCCGGCAAGCTCCCCCGCTCTGCAGTCCCCGTTTTGGTGCCTGTCCCCCTTCACCCAGGCGGGACTAACGGAGGGAGGGGACTGGGCCGCCGAGGGGTGGGAGCGCTCGGAGGGGCAGCCCGGGAGGGCGCAGGCCAATCGGAGCGCGCTCCGCCAGCGGCCAATCACGGGCCGCGTAGCCCAGCAAATCTGCCCGGCAGTGCGGGGCGGGGCTGCCGGGAGTCCGGGTGCCGCCGGTTACACTTCTGAGCGCCTTCGGAAAGCCACAGGGCAGGGGGAGTGTGCGCCGAGAAGCCGGGGGAGGAGTAGTAGGCAGGCCCAGCTTCTTTGCCAGCCCAGTGACACACTTTGAGGCATAAATCTGGCCGGTGATGTTGCGTCCGGGCGCTCACGTGTGTATAGACCCACCGGCTTGTCCGTACGCCGTGTGGGCACCTGTCGTGTGAGTGGCTCTGGGCGTGGCGGCTCGTCGGACGTTCAGTTTCTCTTAAGATTTATCTCTAGGGGCCTACCTAACCCCGGCTCCAGAGCGGAACCTAAGAAGTTTAACGGAGCCGGGTCTGAGCAGATTAAGGGAGTGGAAGAGCGGCTGGGCCGGAGAGGGTGGGGACTGCGGGTGCTGGGGGTGGGGGGCGGGGGTAGGGAACCACCTATTTGCCCCGTCTCCCAGGCAGAAAGGTCTTTTGGCAAGACTGGCTTGATAAAGATGGCCCTGGAATGTCTAGAGTCCGGGCCGTGATGATCACTGAGTGAGTGGCACTGGGCTCAGGCTGGGCAGTTTGTTGACTGACAAAGAGGAATGCTAGCAGTTAGGAAGGTGAGGAGGAAACTCAGGATGGGGACCATCTGCTCCCCCAACCCCAGCGGGACAAAGACATCATCGGAGGTCTGCAATGCCGACTGGATGGCCTCGCTCCCCCTTCACCTCCACAACGTCCCCCTTTCCAATCTGGCAATCCCAGGTACTCTTCTATTCCTGCTTGTTCCCACTGTGTTTGCTTCTGCCATTTTAGTGTTGTTATTATTAATGGATTGGGTTGCTTTTCTGTTGTGCTGAGAAAATAATTGTCAGTGACCTTACTAAACCTTTTTATTTCCAACCAAAAACTTAACCCTGAAGCAGCTGCTGTGAACAGATTTAAGTACACTGCCTCATTGGCAAGGGGGACTCGGGAGCATGGAAGCACCATTTTTTGTTTGTTTGCGTCTTTTTGTTTTGTTTTTACTTGGTAACCTCATTCTAAGAATGTTACAGTCTTAATGTTGGAACCAGGCCATGCGAGGGGTGCATGTACATGAATCGCTGAAAGAAAGAAGGAGAGATCAAGAGTAATGAATAAAAAGTCATTAACAATTTTAGATCTGGGTCAAAATTGAAACTGAAAAGTATTTTCTTTCTCATTCATCTGACCTTGCATATAGGAAAAACAAACAAACAAACAAACAAACAAAGATAAGCATTAGAGAACAGGTTCAGAACCAGGACTGAGTATAAAGACACATATTTTTGCTGTTGGAAAAGCCAGAAATAGAGAATGCAAATGCTCATCAGAGGTCGCAGGCAGTCATTAGGTGTGATGAGGTGGTGTTTGAAGATTTGTCTATATATACACAGGTGTCTGCCTGACTGATCTAGAACCGAAGCGTTGAAAAGCACTTCTGCTCCAGCCATGGTTTCTCTCCCGGGCGTTTTATGCCTTGGTATCACTCTCATTAAATTTGTTAAATGTGTCCTCTTCCTTCCGCTCAAAAGCTGGTTAAAGCATGGTTTCTAGGGAGAGACATTTGGACTACAGTGATCCAAGATCACTTGGTCTCCTGTGCTGGGCAAAGTCCCAGATGCCTGTACTTGAAAAGCACCCCTAGCAGCAGGGGATGGACAACTGCCAATGTTTTCTCTCAACTGGAGATAGAACAATTGCTCTTCGCCCCTAGACTACCAGACAAACTCGCAAGCATCCCTGGGAGCAGTCTGATTTTTTTGCATGACCTCATGCAACCCAGATCTTTGCTTTCTATGCATGAGGAAGAGCAGAGCTGGCTTCAGATGCAGCCTTTTCCTTCCTCGCCTCTTCTTTTGGAGGTCGTCCAGGTGCATTGTCTTCATGGGCTCTTGCTACTTTTGAGCAAGGAGAGGGCTGCTAAATCTCTTGATAGTTACGATCACTTGTGTTTTATCAGCCATTGACTATAGTTCCTTGGGAAATGCCAGACGGTCATGCTTCAGAACAGGTCTTTTCCATGTTTAATTGACGCCTGTGGAGTCATCGCTGAAATGATGCACAGACTTCTTTTAACATTAGTCATTTGTCTTCAGGCTTTCCGGTGGAATTGTTTGGTCAGGTGGTATGGCAGGTAGTGTGTGTTTGCAAACAGCATGGCATCTTAGGCAGACCCTAAGTGACTTTGTCATTCAGGGCATGGCCGGGGTAGGTTGGGGCTTCCTCCTTCCTGTTGTACTTTGGATGGACAGATCACACCACAGCCCCAGCTCTGCCAGTGGCTTGGCTGGGTGCTCTGACACCGTGACTCCAGAAAGGAGCTGGGCATTTGTTCTGCAATCTATAGGGTATCTCACAATTACTAGAATTGCCAGGGGAAGGGGGCAAACAGCCAGAGCCTGCTGCTGTGACTGGAAATGCTATGATTAGGCACCATGGAGGACATAGGAATTTTTTAACGCTGCTTTGTGAAGTGGGTCCTTCTATGCAGAAAACAAAAAAAAGGAAGGAAGGAAGAAAGAAAGAAAAAGAAAAAATGACCTTGATTCCTCAACATGCTGAATTCACTTCTGGGAATGTCCTTTTCCCAGCTGTGGAAGGGGCATGAGCATATGTATATATGAATTCAACACAGGAAAATCACATGTAAGTGCTAGCCATTTATGGCCCCCCCACCACCCCTGCCCCCCCCCCGCCCAGTTTCCTTTCCCCTCCCTCAAGCTTAATATTCCCTAGCTAATGGCTAGCACTCAAGTTCTGCCAAGCCTTGCAGAGAAATTCTGAAATACAGAAGGCATTCAGGACGTGGAATCTCCATCATCTTCCTCCCCCATTTCCCCTCCACCTCTTCCCCTTCGTGATCACCTTCAGCATAATAGTTCTTATTTACTAAGTGCTAACCTCAGTACCCACTGGCAAACACTCCCTCAAATCTCTACACCTCCAAGATAGCTACTAACATCCTCATTTTGGAAATAAGAAAATTATTGTCCAGAGAGGTTGAGTAATTTTTTTAAGATCACACAAATAGTAAATAACAGAACTAACATTTAAGCCCCTATCTAGCTGGCTCTAAAGCCCATGCACTATCCCTGTGCCCCTCAGGGGGCCTTGGGGAGTGCAGAGCAGGTGTGTGTGTGTGTGTGTGTGTGTGTGTGTGTGTGTGTGTACTGGGGGAGGGGGTGGTAGTCTCTAACTAAAAAGCAGTTTTTACAGTCTGTCCTCTGCGGTAAATGAAATAATTTTTAAGATTAGGTGGTCTTTATCTGAGTGATTATATATCACTGTGAAGAGATAGATAAATAGACAGACATATATGTGTCCATATTATATATCTGAGTAATATATATATTTACATGTTTACAATTATATATGTCTATATGTGATACATATGTGTATGTGTGTGTGTATGTATATATACACATATCCCTGTTTATAACTGGAACGCAGGAAGTTTTAAATTCAGATTTATTGTTTAGACCAATTTTGTGTGATGTTTATGCCATGTATGTGCTCCTGTGTGCCGACCGATGATGTAGGGTGTCTGTAAGATTGTGTCAGATCTGTCAGGATGAGGATGGGGCGGCATTGACCTGGGAAAGGTCAGAGAAAAAGCAGGGGTTCTGGCAAGAATAGTAGAACTGGGATGGAGTAAACTACGTCAAATTTGAGTGCATCTGCTGCATTTGCCTAAGTCATGATGGGAGAGAACAGGTGTGAATGTGTACCTCTCAACAAAGCCTTGATGTATTATTTTACTTGTACAACTGTTAAGAACACCTGTTAATGACTGGCATCGCCCAAACATATTGAAATATCCTGGAGAAGAACCTCAGAACAAATCTCATTGCCAACCGTTTAGAATGATTGGAGACCCCAAGGGTAAAGGATCTGGAATTGCAAAAGTCAGATTTTTAAATTAAAGCTTTAAACTCTACAAACATTTTCACTGACGTTAGTGAAAGCATGATATTCTTTATGGACAAATGGACTGATAGAAAAAATGTTTTCTATAACGTGTATAGTTTTCAATGAATTCTTTTTCTATAGTTTAGTGTATTTCTTTTCTTGTCTTTTTTTTTTTTTTAAGATTTTTTTTAAACCATGCTCTTTCCCTTTTTACTGAAGGTAAACTGTTTAGTCTGTTGGAGAGAGCCTTGAACTTAAGAAAGTTGATATTGTTGATTCTGGCTGTGTGATACTGAAGAAGCATCTGAATTTCTCAGGACTTAGTTTCCTCATTTGTAATTAAGATGTTGGATTAAATGAAATACAGAGTCTTTTCTAAATTAAAAATTCTTTGATTAATTGGAGGCTTTTTTATAAATGCCCATTCTTTGTCCAAATGTGAAAAGAGATAGAAGAATGAGTCATTTTAGGTCTAAAAGCTCTTTCTTTTATGCCCCTTTAGAACAAGAAATTATTTTTGGCATGTGCAAACAAGTACTCACAACTGCCAGGATGAAGCAGGGTCCTCTCACTTTAGCATCCTAAAAGGAACTGTAGAATAATTAGTCTAAATAAACTGACCCTGAGTACATTTTAAGAAACGTCCATGCTCAGGCCTGGGGGAGACCCAAGGATGAATCAGGCATCAACCTTAGTATAAAGGAGCTTTCAATTTAGTTTTATATACACAAATTACCATATATAGTTCAAAATAATTGGGGTAAATATTAAAACAGAGATACAAAGGTGTGATGGAAGCACAGAGAATAGAAAGATTAATTCCCATTAGTTCCTACTTTTCAGATTAGGAACTACTTTGTTGAACAAACATGGCATTTGACTCAAGATTTGAAGAATGGTCAAAATTTCAAGGGATGTGACTAGGCAGGTGGTCTGGGTTGGAAGGAGACTTTCCTGATGAAATAAACCAGTTAAGCTCAGGGATGAGGGTAGATGGGAAATGGTTGGAGGACTTTCTCTCCTGCCTCTCAGTAATGCTTTGTTAATACCTTTATCATAGCACTTCTGAACACGTTATTTTTGGCTGTCTGTCATCCATATCATCTATGAACAATTTGCATGCAGAGAGTATGTCTTATTTCTCTTTATAATCCTAGGTCCTAGTACAGGGTAGCAGCTTGGTCATTGGTGACAAGTGGATGATTGAATGCAAGGGACCCAGAGAGTAAGGATGCTGGAGAGTGGCTCGCTTGCAGCCACCATCGTGTTTGATTGTGGTCAGAGCTAAACTGAATGGATTGATTAGGTTTACCTGGCGAAAAAGCCGTCTGAAGCCACATTTTCCAGCCATCTCTTGTTCCTTCTGCATAGTATTCCCGTAGCTTTAGATAAGGCTCATCACTGAGCCCCATTGGAAGTGAAAATTCTGAGGCAGAGCAAAATGGTCAGGAGAGTCAGAAGCGGAATTCTGGTGTAACTTGTGTCCTAGGAACAATTCTTTCACCCTGCATCCTGTCTGCCTTCTCTCTTCCCTTGTCAAATGTGAGCTTCTCATGTTTCCTGCCTGGCCTCAGCCCCAGCCTGCTCTCATTTCTTGTTCCCCTCTTCACCTTCCTTCCACTGACCTGGCCTCTCCCTTTCCAGTGTCAACCCTCGCCCAGATGCTCCTCACTGCTCTCCAATTCCCAGACCCTTCTCCGTTCTCATCTTCCTGAGGATCATCCCCTTCTTTTTTACGTTTCGGAATTCTATCCCTGTCCCACGCAGTTCCGCCTTTGACCACTTGGTGAGTTCTCTAGCTCTTCTCACTTCCCACATGTGTGTCATGCAGACGACCAGATTATTACAGGGGCAGGACGAAGGGATCATTACTCAAATTATGCTTTTGGAAGTTGGATTAGGTCTGATGCATCCAAAAGAGATTTGGGGACCCAAAGGGGCATAACATACATTGTGGAACAAGAATTCTAGGTTGGCTCCACTTTGAGGATAGCATGAGCCATGAGTTGGCCCTAGAAAGAAACCCATCCCCCTACAGGATTTGAGGCTGTGGAAAACCAAGAACAAGGCTGAGTCTACCAGGGCTGACCCAATCAAGAAAAACAATCTTATGGAACCAAAATGGACTCTTAAGTGGGAATACGTTTTTGTTTTTTATTTTTTTCTCTCTGGGTGGTCATGGTGAGGAATAAAAAGAGCCTCTGACTTTGGTGTTCTTATTAGTAGGTCTTTCTTCTAAGGAAGCTCATCACTTCCTTAGATTTCCCTACTGGTGCCCCCCAGTCACATAAAAGCCGCAAGGAATTCAGGAATCACTCATATCTTCCAGAGGCAGAACGAATCATGGATTGGTTTAGAGCGTTAACGCTAGCGCCACTCTGTCTGGATTTGAACGTCAGCTCTGTTCCTGATGACTCTGTGACCTTGGGCAGGTTTCTTACTCTCTCTGCTCTACAGTGCCCTTCTCTGTAAAACAGAGATAATAATGGCACTACATCATTTCGTTAGTGTGACAAATAAATTAATTCACATAGCATGCTTAGAACAGTTTCTGTCACAAAATGATGTGTCATTAAAAATTAATTATGATGGATTTATTAAAAACCTGCACCTGGAATGGACAACCAAAAAGAAGTGTAAGATCAGTCCATCCCTTCAGGTAAGGCACAGTCTAGTTAAGGAGCTGACCTTCCAATTAAGCCTTGTGGCTCAGTGTTCTCTGTCTGATCAGATCAGGATAACCTGAATGGTCATCCCCTCAAGGGGGCTTAGAGTTAAGGGAAGGATACATGGAGGGTTGCCCAGGATGTGAGTACCAAGGGAGACTTAAGGGCAGTATGAGGGCAGCTGATCAAGAGAGCCAGAAGAACCTCTTTAGCTACTTACTCTGTCCCCCACCCCAAATTTAGCTGTCAAACTTTGTCATCTTCAGCCATCCAAAGCCTTTGGGGAAAATGCAACTCTCTGTGACAGGGCCATACTGTTAACTTTGCCCCTCCTCTCCTCATTTCCCCACCACTTGGCCTCCTAACCCAGTCCTTGCATTCGCAGCTCAAGAGCAGGGATGTTAGGAAATGCTTTCCTTTGAATAGATCTTTATACATACTTTATAACTCTTTCCCCAGCCATTGGAATAGCCTCACAATCCCTCCAAACATACACATCACCCTCTACACACACACTAACACACACATGCTACCCATCACCCAACACACACACTGAGCTGTGGCCTCAGGAGAGCCTAAATTTTCATGCCTCTTGCTGTTTTCCCTTGATAAAGATCTTGCAAAACATGCCTACGGACATCTCAAATCCTAGGAGCCTGCCGCCTTCCCCTGCACACTGCTGTTTCAGATGTGCTTCTGAAGCTGACAGTTGGCTTCTATCCCATGATTTGAGCTGACTACCCCCTCACCCCCACCCATACCCCGCCAGGGGACGGGTTGGCTCCAGTCTCCCCCACCCAGCCCCTAAGAGCTTCCAAGTACAGGCAGCTAGAAGTAACTGTTAGAGAAATGCTTTGCCTTTGCGAAAAGCTTGAACCTCTTCACAAATGCTGAGTAACCCTAATCAGAGTTTCAAACCTGGCCTGCAGAGGAGGGATTATTTATAGACATTGTAGTAGGTGGGTGTGTTTGTGTGTGTGAAAGGATTTGAACACCCATCAAGAACCAAATTGAGGTAGAGGAGCACTGTGACGGCGCTGGTTTGAGTAGTTACACGCCTGGTGGAGCCAGGGCCCTTCACTTCTCACAGCTCCGGGAATTCGGATTGTATTGCTGAGCGCCCATAAGGATCAAACAGTCCCTGGGAGGATTACATTAGTAGGTCTCTAGTAGCTCCAAGGTAACATGGGTTTGGCCACAGAGGCCGGCATTGCTCCAAGGGGATGTGTAGGTGGTGCTATGAAGTGTCCGCGGTCTACCTTGGATTCACAGTCTATGAAGCCGCTGGAATTTTCTAGGAGAATAACAGGTGGGATTTTTTTGGTTTTTGTTTTTTTAATTTCCAATTATTCTAGAACTATTCATTGTAAGGTTCTTTTTTTTCCAGAGAATATTCTGTTGCTATTTTTTTTCCTCTGTACAGACCTGACGGTATCAAAGGAAGAACCAGGAGGCATCTGTACCCTGTACTGCTAATGTGTCAGAGTGCGCAGCAGTCTGCGTAACGGTGGAACTGAACGATTCCTAGACACTGTCCGACTGAGATGAATATTTTATGAACATGTATGATTTGAAGGCTTCTATGCTGAAAGCAATATTCTTATAAAGTATAATTGAAACCAGGTGAAAAAATGTCAAAGAGATAAAGGTGAAGACAGCATCCCTCCTTCCTGAACTTTGAGTTCAGGTCACTGTCGTGGCAAGAGGTGCCCATATGGATCTTCAAAGCTCTTCACCCTTTTGCTTCTTTTGGTTTTCACTGCCTAGATTTAAAAAATGTATTCATTTAAAGGAAAGTTGGGTATTCAAAGGATGTTTGTTGAACATTTTTGTGCCGGGTACTGTGTTAGATGAGGTGAGCATGGAGGAAAGAGTCTTCTCCCTGCTCTTCATGAAGTTATGGTCTTAAAAGAGAAGCTAAAATTCAAACACTGTGGAGAAGAATGCATAGGATACTGTAACACTCAGAAAGCCAATTCCCAATTCCATTACTGGGAGGAGGCGGGAAGCCTGGTAGATTGAGCTTTCAAGAGGAGCCTTGGGTTGAATCATAAAGAGCAAATAGTAAATAGGTGTTAAAGGTAGAGGGAAGGTTATCACAATGCAGAGGTACCCAGGAGGAGCGAGGAGTGAGAGATTAGGGTGACCTTGAGAAAAGCCAACCAGTCTGGTATGGTCAGAACGTAGATTTCATTTAAACAGAGATGAGACTGGCAAAGTAGGCTAAAGAGTCTTACGTGCCATGCTAAGATTAAACTTTAAACATTATCCCAGGGCAAACAGCAGCCACTGAAAGACTTGGTCAGCAATGGGTGAAAAGCCCCCAAATAACTACATAAGGGTGAAGAGAAACAAAATGGCACATCAGTTATTAGGAATGCTGAGGGGTAATATGAGAAACTTACTCTTTCTTTCATTTCTATTTAATACATATGTATTGATTTCCTCTCATATGTCAGGCACTCTCCTAGACACAGTGATGATCATTACACACAGTTCCTGCCTTCAAAGAGCTTACAATCTAGTTGGAGAAATGGACTTTTTTCCTTAAGATTTTATTTATTTATTTGAGAGTGAGAGAGCATGTGAGCACAAGTGGGGGGAGGGGCAGAGGGACAAGCAGACTCCCCACTGAGCAGGGAGCCCAATACGGGGCCGATCCCAGGGCTTCAAGATCATGACCTGAGTCACCCAGGCTCTCCAGAGAAATGGACATTTAATCAAGTAGTTATATTGTATGTGATGAGTAACTGCTCTTTAAAAACAAAACAAAACAAGTAGTTATAACACTCTACTATACTATTAGAATGATTGGGGAGGCAGAAGTTACTACTGGAAGAAGTATATGGCATGAGCATCTTTAACAAGACTTGGGAGTCCAGGGAAGCCTCCTGGAGGAAGTGATGAATAGACTGCGCTGGGAAGGATGCATAGGAATTAGCCCTGAGGATGAGAGTGTTCTAGGAGAGGAAAAAATGTGGAGAGAAAAAGAAAGAGAAGAGAGAAAATGGCCCACTTAACCAAAATAGTTCACGGTAGTTGTACTGTAGGTTTTCAGGAGGGGAGGGGCAAGGTACAGGGAGGTCTAACAAGCCATGTTAGAGTCATTTAGCTTTACCTCAATGGTGGTGGGAAGGACGTTAAGCAGGTGAATGACAAGGTCAGCCCTGTGTTTGGAAACACCAGTTTGGGACTGGCTGCAGTCCACGAAGTATATTGGAATTGGGAGTACTGGAGCCAACTGGAGCAGTTAGGTTGTTGATGAGGCCATCCCAGTGGGAGGAGATGCTGACCTGAGAAGGAGAGTGACAGTGTGGACAAAGGAAAAGGGAAGACACAGGAGATGTATTGGAGGAAGTATCGACAGGACTTGAGGGTGAAAATAGGGATACAGGAGAAGAAGCAGGTTAGGGGTGGCAGAGGGAAGCAGATGTGCTGAGTTTGGGGCACGCCAAGTTTGAGGGACCTGTGGGACTTATCAGAATTGGGAGAAGGGCCTAGACAGCGCTCAGTGGAAATCATTTCAGATTTACTTTTCACAATTTGCCCAACCCCTGACCCTCACCCACAGCTACTATTATATCCAATATAAGAAGATTTGAGTTTGAAATCAGTGTCTTTATTCTTTTTATATATATATTTTTTAGATTTCAGTTAAACTTTTGCTTTGTTCAGGAACTCTGCCCAAAACTTCTAGTCCCAGATAAGTGACCCTCAGAAGCTCATCTAGTGTTGGCTTGTTCTGCATGAATTCTCTCATGTCTTGTTTAATGATTTCTTCAACTATATTGGCAGCTTGGGGGTGGGAGTTGAGGTTAGCTCTGTGCACTATAGCACAAACCAGCTGTGAAATGGAAACATTTAGTAACGTTACCACGCCATCAAATACCATATATTTCACGCACTCACATCCTGGGGTACACCAAAAGGCTAAATAAAAGCAGGAGAATTTTGTAGTAGAATATTTAATGTAGTATAAGTTTTTCTTCTACCCTAAACATTTTCCTGTTTTCCCCTAAACCTTTGTATTATTCTTATTTTTGTGTTCAAAACTGAAAAGTTGCTAAAGAGAATGTGATTCTTTTGGAACTGAGAAAGCTTATCAGGGGATGACCAAGTGCCCTTTGTGAGGTGTTACTTTACCAAAAATGATGCCATCTGTTCAGAGACAAAGCAGAATGATAATGAGCAAAACAGAGAAAGAATTTCTTATTAATGAATTACCTATACAGTCTCTTACTTTGGGATGGGGATCAGAGTCTCCCGGACATTTGAGGAAGAGAAAGTCTTTCAAAAGAAAATAGATGCCCATCCATCTGTAGAGGGCTTTAAAATGCCTCCCAGACATGGAATTGAAACCCCTCTGACTCACATAAATCCTAGGATGTTGGGGCCAATTCGGAGAATATCTGGGGCAGTGGAATTCTCATGGTGCCCTGCAAGAGCCTGGGTGAGGCTTGATGCCCCTCAGGACTCCTCCTCATGGCCAGAAGTGGGGACTGTTGGGGCAGACCTTGAACCAGAGAAGCTCTGCTTGTATTTGTTTTACATATAAATACCTCATCTGACAACATTCCGGGTCTGAAAAGCACCATGAAAAGCTCGGATTTACTCCAGCTGTCTAGCTCATCCAGCCAGTTGGGGAGTAGACCAGGAGTAGTAGCTCTCTGGCTTCCCAGGCTAATGTCAGTCCTCAGACAGTGGGATACCTCTTGGCTTCTCAGCCCATAAAGATAAGTTGATCAGCATCCTCTGCTTTCCAGGGTTCTGCCTCACCCAGTGGCTTTGTTCTATTGTGAGTAATTCCAAATCAGTAGGCACTTGATTAAAAATTAAATGGACCACGTGGCCCTCTCAGATTTTGTGGGCAGTTTGACCATTGTTATTAATACTCTCCCACACGCCCTATGGAAAATAATCCAGTCGGATAGATGAAGTTTATCCCTTTGGGCTGACAGGGTTTAAAGACGTTATTCTTTGGTTTGGGAATCAGCTAAATGGTCCCCAGATCTCGAGCCTGGGACTTGTGTTGGCTAGATTCTGTAGATCCTAAAGATGCCTCAGCCTTTTCTGCATTTGTCAGCATGGAGTCACATTCCCTACAAATGCTGCATTTTTCCCAAGGACCTAATTCAGGTGTGTGAAATGGGAGACCCCCAAGGAGATGTTATTAGAAAATAATTTACACAGGAATGAGTTGCAGGAAATCTACTCTTTAGGACTTATCCTTTTAAATTGTTCGATGTGATGTTTTATTATAGCTGCTCCTTTCGTCATCCTTTCTGGCTTATTTTTGTCCTGTGTGTTTCCTGACATATTCCTCTTCGTTGAACCAAATAACTCAAGCTAGCAGGATAGATGGAGATAAATGGAACTGGGGGATACAGGTGCTGGGGGTGAGGAGGTGCAGACAGTGAACTCTGCCTGTTTTAAGAAGATGGATGGACCAAAGAGAAGTTTGGGAAAGGATCAGAGGACCTTGGCTTACCTGCCCTAGGCAACTCTCTAAACATCTGTTTATTCAAGCAATCATGCTTGCATTTATTCTAGATGCATGTATTCAGTGCCTACGATATGCCAGAAACTTAGGAACTGTAGGGATACTCACAGTCAGGTATCCGTGACAGATACGGAGATAATTGCCTCAAGGTGTCCCAGGTTCATCAAGTTCAAGAGGCAGTGGATGCACAAAGGGAAAAGTATTTACATCTACTTGGTGGAGTCAGGTGAGCTCACAGGCAGATGATTTGTGACCTGGGTCACATACAGGTAATGAAAACAAGAAGGCAAGGGGCAATGAGTTTGTTCCCAACGAGTGTGAGGGTTTTCTGTTTCTGTCTTCTTTTAAGCAAATCTTTCGCTATATCCAATAACCATAAGGCCCACTTCTTTTTTTAAAGATTTTATTTATTTGACAGAGACACAGAGAGAGAGAGAACACAAGCAGGGGGAGAGAGAGAGGGAGAAGCAGGCTTCCAGCCGAGCAGGGAGCCCGATGCGGGGCTCGATCCCAAGACCCTGGGATCATGACCTGAGCCGAAGGCAGACGCTTAACGACTGAGCCACCCAGGTGCCCCAAGACCCACTTCTTATATGTAACTTTGCAAATGGGTATGTTCTCAGCTCAGGCGCCACAGACCTATTTTATCATGCAAAATGACAGTCTGTTCAAATCCCATTTATTGTAATATTCATAGAGATGAAATACCTGATCTGTAACACAAGATGTTTTCTACAAAAACTGCCTTAAACATTTCCATCATTTAAAGATGCATGTTCATTTTTATGTCTGTTCTTAATACGCTTTACCGTATCTCGATTTTTAATGTTTATACACAGGAGAAACAGTATAGAGAAGTAGTTCAGAGTACGGGTTCTGTTTTAGCATACCGAGGATCAGATCCTAATTACTCATCACGTGACCTTCAATAAACAGTTTAACTCTCTGTCCCTTAGTTTTCTGCTCTGTAAAGTGGAAATAATGACAGCACCTGCTTCACGAGCACAAGGTTAGAGGAAACACGGTCTATATACTTGCCCTTACTCTTGACACCAACTGCCAGTTTTGGGGTCCTCAAGATCAGCCTTAATTTTGCTAGATAATTTGCTGGAAGGAGTGACAGAAGTCACTGAAAGCTGTTATACTCACAGTTCCTTTTTATTTTTTATTTTTTATTTTTTTATTTATTTATTTTTTTAAAGATTTTATTTATTA